AGCTGTGAACATTAATTACATAGACCATTGTGGAATTAAGCAAACTGACATACATAGGAAGCCAGGGAATTGGACACAAACAAGAAGTGAAAGAACTGATTTTTTTTTTAAATTGTTAATAGTTATGCAGATATTAGAAATTTACTGGAAGCAAAATAATGTCCCATGTTTCAGTGGGAATTGAACTAGATCTACACACTGACACAGTTGCCTCTTGTAAATCGGGGTTAAGCTGATGAAGAAAGAAAATTCCTGGAGCCGAAAGGAATAGCGGATGAGCACTCAGGAGGCTCACTGCATTACCAGTTACACTAAGACATGGAACACTAAACTGGTTCTGTGCGAGATTCTTGGCTTATGTAGATGGAGGGGGCATCTAGAAGAGGCTCATTGTTACACAAGACACATTTGATGCATTTGAATATGCATACCAGCAATTACTACTGTGTACTCACAGTGTTCAACTGGTGCTATGTGAAAAACTCTGCTACTAGGTATTTTTGAATGTGAATAAGAAAAGAATTAAAGAGCTTCTTACAAGAAGTTGAAGACTTAGAGAATTTTTTTTGTCCCATGCAGCTTAAGCAGATTTTAAAACAAAAGCCTTAGACTGATTTTCAGTTACCTTTGTTGAAATAAGCTAATGGCTTGTTTGTGTAAAGCATTTTTTATTAAAACAATTTTTTTAAAAAATCTTATACCTAGCACAGTATTGTTATAGAATTACCTGTAACATATTTTGTACGGTAATCAAGTCTGTTGGTTTCTTAATTGTGGTCAAAGCGGCCAGAGGTTGCTTAGCCTCTTGCTGCTTGGATCATCCACTTCGCCTGGACATCTCTGCATACATTTCAATTTCAGCTTTTACTCTGTCACTTGAAAGGTCACGCTTGGCATGAACTCTTGTCAGGTAGATTAAAAGCCTGTATATTTTTTAGTTGAAGTTAGAGGAAAGTACCAGTGTTCAGAATGAACTATAATAGTTTGTATATTCAACATTTAAAGTATATTCTATTTTGTTGTACTCTTGTTTCAAAGTGTATTCAAGTAGGTTTTACTGAAATACAGATATGAAATTTAAAATTGGTGTTTCTTTTTTCCAAGCCTTAATGTGCCTCTGGTGTTTATCCAGATCAACAGTGCTACGTAGTTTTCTACTTCTGGTCTCAAAACTTAGTTTCAGAAATAGCACAGAATTGGAAATATACCAAAGAATTAAGTTAATTATCTCAGTTATTCTACTGAATATAAGAGAAATACCTAGTTGATAACACAGTGGAAAGGACTTGTATGATAATTTAATTTAAACTATTAACAGTTGTAATTGGGTGACTGGAATTGTGTTTACACTTGTGTTATACTGTCTTCCAGTTTCAGAATGAATTAGAGTAGCAATAGCCAGCTTCATAGGAGTGAATGGGATTCCTTGAAAAGGAGGGGGAAGAGACATACAGATGTCAAGCTCAAAAAATTAGGAGTTCAGGCAGTTCAAATGAATATAAAGGTTTATTGCAAGATTAAGCTCTCTACAAAAATCTGAACCACTAACAATCAAAGCAAATTGGCAGTCGATAAGAATCAAGGGAATTCAAGGTGGGCTGGATTTAGATCTCTTGTCCCAGGAGTGGACATCTCAGCAAATTCACCACAAGGTCAGGCTGCACAGTGCTCAGAGAATTGCAAAAAATCCAGGAGTTAGATCTCAGACTCTACAGGCCTCAGTTAGCATGTTAAATATTAAAGTTAATGACAGTGCAATTAGAAAAACATTGAACAGGTATGTTTTGTTTGGAAGGGTTGCCAGGTGAAGCTTCTTCTCTCTAAAAAGAACATGGCAGCACGGCTTAGGTTTGCAAAGTTGCATCTGAACAAATCATAAGAAACACTTCTGAAAAACTGTCCTTTGGACAGATGAGACCAAAGTGGAGATATTTGGCTATAAGGCACAATGCCACATTTGGTGAAAATCAAACGCAGCATATCAGCACAAACATCCCATATCAACCATCAAGCACAGTGGTGGAGGGTTGATGATTTGGGCTTATTTTGCAGTGACCGGACCTGGGTACCTTGCAGTCATTGAGTCAACCATGAACTCCTCTGCACACCAAAGTATTCTAGAGCCAAATGTGAGGCCACATGTCTGACAGCTAAAGCTTGGCTGACATTGGGTCATGCAACAGGACAATGAACTTGAGCATACCAGCCAATCTATAACAGAATGGCTGAAAAAGAAAAAAAACCAAGGTGTTGCAATGGCCAGAAGTCCAGGCCTCAACCCAACTGAAATGCTGTGGTGGGACTTCAAGAGAGCTATGCATTAAAAAAAATACCCACAAGCCTCAATGAACTGAAGCAAAGTTGTAAAGAAGAATGGGTCACAATTCCTTCACAATGATGTAAGAGACTGATAAAGTAATACAGAAAACAATTACTTAAAAGTTATTGCTACTGAAAGTGGTTCTACGAGCTATTGAATCATAAGGTATACTTAGTTTTTCACATATGGCTTCTCCACTTTGGCTTTCTTTTGTGAGAGAACTTTTATAGAAATTTGCTTTCCCAAAGTTCTGTATTTTAAAGGGCAGGTCATCAACAGCTTTCTCTCCTTGAACTATGTGGGGGAAATATCTCCAAATTTTACAGAGTTAGATATGGTTGAAATTAAGATAATGCTTAATGGGGAAAGTGGGAAAGTGAACAAAGCTAGAACATATAGCTCGATCTGAGATCATATTATATATGATGATGCTGGAATTATTTGCAGTGTAAGTAAGAGTTCTTTAACGTTTATATTAAGTATTTCGAAGAATATTGGACAATATTTTATCTCAGTTGTTGCATTCTGGCCATTTGCAGTTCTTTACATGTAGAATTCTGTAAAAATAAGATGTCTTCACTTCTAATGGTTTCCATTTTATCTTTTATAGCAAATAATTGTCATATTGCAAGTTATTTTTCTGGGATTCAATTATCATTTGTGGTAATATATTCCTTGGAAGAACTTGCTGTTGTAATTGGAATTATGTCTTAGAAAAATACTCCTTGAAAGGAAAATGTGTGTCAACCTCTTTTCATTCTTGACAATATGGCCTGAATCCAAATAAGGATGACATCATTTAAATTGTGCTAGTGTTATGCATAAGAGTTCCAAGTCTTCTTTCATGTTGTACTACAAAATACTGAGTAAAATCTAAGCACTCTTAGCCACTGTAGATCAGGGGTGTCAAACTGCCGGCCCGCGAGCCGGTTTCACCATACCGAAGCCGTGCCCACCCCATTGCCGGCAATGCAAAAAGAGTTGTGATGTGTCGTGACATGTCACGTGACGTGGCCAGTTTGACACCCGTGCTGTAGATGGAGTCAACCACAGAGAGTTGGTTCCATCTTTTCAGGCAGCAAGGCAATGATTAAATCTTTTCCGTATCCCATGGAGGAATGCCTTTGCTCCAGTCTTTATGCTCTGTCTTGGAGACAAAGCAACCACTTTCCATCAGCTCCATTTTGTGAGCTAAAGATCAATGCTATCCTGGCAATGTGAAAAAACATTCCAGCCCAGCAAATCAGTAGGAAGCTGCAAGCAAGAGACCTACTTGGTCTGGAAAAACAGCTTGGGAGATGGGCCTATCAGAACTCCAGAGTTGATGGAACATGGAAATAAGGCAGGGGTCTTCAGACTTGGCCCTTTTATGACTTGTGGACTTCAACTCCCAGAATTCCTCAGCCAGCGTGTCTAGCTGAGGAATTCTGGGAGTTGAAGTCCACAAGTCATAAAAGGGCCAAGTTTGAAGACCCCTGAAATAAAGAGTGGTACCAGCTTTGAGCCCTCCTGTAATATGGAAGGGTTGAAAGCCAGTCAGAACCCTTCTATTTCCATCTTGATAGGCTAGACATTGTATGACACAGTTTCTGACAATTTGAAAAAAAATCTTTTCCACCCCATGTTGGTAATAAGGAATGCTCAGAACACTTAAATCTTCCAGCCAGAAGGCTGCAGCCTGTTAACAGTGAGGTCATTGCCCTGAGATGCAGAGTCCCATTTTCAATGATTCTTTGCTGAAATAGTTAAAAGGGAAATGGGTGGAATTCAGCCTAAAGAAATCCAATAGTATCGGGGCTTCTTATCCTTACCAAAACTTGATTGTGTGAACAAATAATCTCTGTAGAAATCGGGTACCTAAGAGAACAAATTAATAAACTAACTGCAGCAGCAAACTTAGTTCAGACATCTGTAACGAAAGCCAGTTGTCTGCAGATACATGACCTGTGGTTCACACATTGGAAGATGGACCATCAGTCAAAAGGCAACATCACAAAAAAATTTCAGAGAAGTAACGGGAGTGGCAGTAGAGAAATCTTTGTGTACAGCCCCAAAGAAGGAAGAATGCAGATAGAAGATGTCTTAAAACATCCTGAGAGACTAGAAAGTAAAATTTCAGCTTGTTTAGATAGGAAGTATATATTGAGACCACCAAAATACTCATTCTATAGCCAGGTTGAATTAAAAACCAAGACAAATCCTTCTTGGCATAACACTACAGGTACTTAACTACAGTTTGTTTAGTGACGGTTCAAAGCTACAACAGCACAGAAAAAGTGACTAATGAATATTTTTCACATTTATGACTGATGTAGCATCTGCATGGTCATGTGATCAAAATTCAGATACTTGGCAACTGATTCGTGTTTAGGATGTTTGCAATGTCCTGGGGGTCATGTGATCACCTTTTGTGACCTGACAAGCAAAGTCAATGGGGAAGCTGGATTCGCTTAACAACCGAGTTAACTAACTTAACATCTGCAGTGATTCCCTTAACAATTGTGGCAAGCAAGGTCGCAAAATGGGACAAAAGTCACTTAACAAATGTCTCACTTAGCAACAGAGGTTTGAGGCTCAATTGTGTTTTTGAGTTGAGGACTTCCTGTACTACTTTCCATGTAGGTGAACAACTGTAGAAATTCTAATACACTTTGAAATATCTTCAAAAACAATACGCAGGTTTGAGATTAACACTTAATTTATTCAAGTAGAAGGCACAATCCAAGACAACCTCAGCAAAAAATTAACTGAGGCTCATACTAAACTTTATGCTGAACAAAATTTGGTCATTCGGTCCAATATGGGAGGGACGAACCCTGGGTATTCATCTGACCGACTATTGACAGACAGGACAATGCTGTTACATGCAGTGCAACTGTTTTACTTTACAACTCAAGAGCTTAGATATGGGAGGAAAAACTTTGTTACAATTAGAGTTGAATAAGAGCCATACTTTTCTTCAGAAAAAAGGAAACATAGCATAAGCAGCTAGCCAGGCATATTTTTGTCTTTTTTGTCATAGCATGGAGTTAAGAAAAAAAGTCAAGGCTATAGGAGTAGATTATTAATTCTCCATTCATAAATATTTTTCCCATCCCATCCCCACGTCTTTAGAAATCCATGATAAAAGTCTTTGCCTGTACAAACACAGTACATTAAAACACTCCCTATTCCGCTTTATATTTCACCTAATCTTAAAAAGTTCTCTGGGTTTTCATTAAAGGTGAAGTCACATACTAAAGATAGATGGTCTGATGGGTAACGGAAAGATGGGAGCCTATTGGGTCCAATTTGTTCCTCAGTTAAAAGGCTGAGGGCAGCATCTACTTTTAAGGCCTGTTGTGAATACCAGATGTAATCAATTGTATGACTGCATTCTCCAGAAGGACGGATCTTCCATGTGGTGTATGGAGGCTCTGTTAGCCCATCTGTACTCAGATGTTTATAAGCACTGTTTAGGTTTAGACTAGATTCAGCGAATTGCTTATACACTTCTTCTGTAGGCTCAGCATTGAAGTCACCACAGACTATAAGAGGGATCTCTGCATCCTGGGTGATCTGTTTTAGATTTTCAAGAAGATCAGCACCTTGAGCAGATCGAAACCTCTCCCAGCCATTGCGAGCTTTCAAGTGGGTGACAGCAACACAGAACATTTTCCCAGTCTCATTACATTTCAGGATCTGAACTATAGCCACTTGATTGGTCTTGAACTTCATTGCTGTCAACCCAATGTTGGTACTATTAATTAGCGTAAACCTGTCCTTAAGGAAAAACAAGGCACAGCCATCTGGGCCATTGTTACATTCCACATCTAAACATGGAGAACATGGTTTAGGAAGAAAAGCACATTGGTAGCCTAGCCGACTGAGTAATGGCTGAAAAGTATCAAAATAGTGGTCCACTTCTTGTAGACAGAGGATATCAGGCTGGTAAGCAAGGATCTCTTCTAGAATGAGGCACTTCCTTTCCTCCCATCTCAAGGCTTCCATGGGGCATTGGATAAAGTTGTCCTTGCCTTCCCCAAGAGCTGGAATGAAGAAAATATATCAGTTAAGAAAACTTTATTTAGGAAATATTTTCCTTCCCATAAAATACATAAAAACCAATAGTCCAATCCACACTCTTAGTGGAATTCTGTAGAAGCTATTGGTATATTTTTAGTCATCTAGTACTATAGAACCGTGCGACAAATTTGGTCTTCCTTGCTCAAATCTTTTCATGAATGGCATACATTGACTAATACAATTTTATTCATAATCTAGTGAAACAGCAATTTTGCAGTTCCAATTTCGCTTTGCTTAGTAAATTCAAAATAAAGCCTAAAGATGATTATTCTACCATATTTATGCATCATTTTATTTTAATATCCTAAACTATATTCGTATATTTCTAAACCAGGGGATTGAAACTCGTATGCTAACACAGAGTAAAACTACTATATTGCAATGACCATTTTGTGAATAAATATTACTTCCAAACATAAATCATGAAAAAGAAGATACATTTCACATTATCTAAAGGTAAATTCAAGGTGACAATTCCACTGGATTCATATCAACCAAAAGTTTAAAAAACAGCAGTTTAATTCATATATAAGGAATAATCTAAGGTAAAAATACATATGGATCAGAATATGTGGTAGAATCTACAGCTAGCGTGGGCATGGGTGAAGTTAAGAGACTGGCTAGTTTGGGATCGCTGCAGAGAAGGAAGCGAAGGAGTCTTGATCCCCCCCTAAAATCCCTGGAGCCTTTATCTGGTTGTTTATTATTTCTGTGAGTTATAAACATTTGAAATCTTTGCTCTGCCATTTTGTTAGTGATACGATAAAATAAAAAATAATAAAATTATTACTTTCTGGTTGATTTTTTTAAAATAAATATTGAAAAGCTGACATTCAAAACAAGTTTCTACCCAGAAAATAAGGAAAGGGGCTTTTAGGTAGCAAACTTAATTATATCTCATCCATTACTATGCTTTTGATTGGTCATGCTGATTGAAAATTCTGATAATTATAGGCTAACTAAACTATCTATGATCCATTGGGTCATTCTTTGAGAAAAAGGCAGTACAGATGTTCCCCCCACTTTCCATGTGGTATAATCAAGCTGACAATATTTTTTTTATCTCCAATAACAAGGTGTCATGATCATCTCAGAAGAATATATATAGGTTATATTACATGATCATGGGTTCACTGCAATGATCAGAACTTCGAAAATAAAATTGGTCTGAATTTCATAGAAATTCCAATTGTACAGGTATAATGAGTTCTGAATTTTTATGCATTTTTTAAGTTTGTAGATTTGAGATACCTTAATTCAAAAATTGTTCCAGTACCCCAAATCTACTAACTTAAAGAATGCATAAAAAGATCTATCAACTGAATGAAATGAATTTTACAAGGCTCAAATACAATTTCTCAGTTAAGATTGTACCTTGGGCAAGTATATTCCATTGCATAACTCTGATGGGCTGATGATTTCTGACAAAACTGGTCCTCAAGTCCACAAAATCCCTTTGGAGCCGGGCTGGACGGTTCTGAAGAACAATCTGGCATTCTTCAAGCAGATCTTTAGGATCTATAGGATCCAGAAACTCAGGATCTGTTTGTTCCAAGTACTCCTGATGTTTAGTAATGACACCACTACTCAAAGTCTTTGCCAGTGCACTATACAGCCTACTTGTACTGTTGCCCATGGAATACCCTGAAAAAGAAAGAAGAATTTCAGTACAGCAATTCCAATTTCTTCCAATTAACTTCTCTCAGATCAAAACAAATGCATTCATCATTAGAGTTCACATACAATGTGATAGCCTTATAGTGCTGGTAGCCTCCAGTTATAATGAACCTCAGTTTTCAAAATTTGCAGCCAATGTTAAGAGGTATGCTATATAATATAAGCAAGCACAATTGACAGCATATTTTTCAATATGAAGTTAACAACGCAATACTCATTTCCCTTCTTAAATACCACAAATTTAAGTTCCCCTTTTTATGCTGTCCTCTTAGGATATTTCACTTAGTAATTTTTATGATCTCTATAAACAGTTTCAAGCCCTCAGAATCAGCCTATGTTATACCTAACCAGTTGCAGTTTTTTCCAGTTGCCTATTCAGCTCTTTCATTTATTGGACTGATATTTGAAGGTGATCTATCACATTTCAAATATTTTTACCAAGTTGTATAGCACAGCTAATTATGTCAATGGTAGCAGCTATTAAATCTGAGACAGTAATCCAGCAGGATTGCTTCTTGCTAAATAACTCAGCCTACAAAATTTCTGACACGCCACATCATGGAACACAGAACTTTATTTTTTCCCAATCTCACAAGAAAGCCAAATCATAAACATTCTGCTTTATTAACCAGCAAACACATGTTATAATCACAAATCAATTCAAAGCTCATTCACTTCTACTTCTTACTTTCATAAAAAAGATGTTCCTATAATGTACTTTAAAGAAATGCTTGGGTTTACAAAGTATTTTTTCCTGACGTCAGCAATACTCTGCAAAAAAACCAAGGCGATCTGAGGGAGCAAGCTAAAATTTAAAATGGAAAGAACTGCAATATAAAATTGTGCTCTGGCTTTTCAATAGCTTTATTTTTTTCTGCAGATACTAGACACCTCATAATACCATGATCCTACTACTAGTAAGGTGGTGGTTTAAATTCTGTTTATAATATATAATCAAGTGCCATCCTGCCCCTGCTAATCTGAACACCATCATCTTAGGCGCTGCATGTGAACCAAGAAGCTACCCTGCACTTTAAAAAGACGCTATTCATATGATTTCCAGTGTCAAAAGATAAACTTTCCCCCCATATGTTTCTAGTAATAGCAAAGCCTATATTAATCTTTTCAAGGCTGCAAGTGCTTCCCACTACCCTTAAAATAGGGAAATAAGATTTGGACACTTTATTATCTTCCTGTTTCTTCCGACTGCTCTTTGTAATTCTATTTTAGTCCAACAATAGTTTATAATTCACAAAGCAGACCAAGTTGCATTTTGTTGGAAAGTGGGCTTTCTAATAACGAAAAGGTAATATTTTAGAAAGTTCCTAGTTATATTAAACAATAATTACCTGATAAATCGGATGGATACATCAACACAAGTGGTAAACAACTCTAATGGAGAATTGCACACAGAATTGCCAGCCTCCAAAGTCATGTGTGAGCATTTCCTATGCCACTGGTACACAAGAGACACCTAGTGGTCTTTTATATAACTTTTTCCATTGAAACAGCTTTTTTTTAAAAAACAAAATCCATTATCACTATTAGCTTAAATAAAAACTAAATTTATATGTGCTTTTTGTGATGCCTCATCATTTGTTGCTCTTTTATTGCAACCTGACTGAATTGCTTGGAGCTAGCTGTTTCCCTCAGCCTAAGAATAGGGTTCCTGCTCACATAACCAGAATTCCTCAGCAAGTTGAAGTCCATAATTCTTAAAGTTGCCAAGGTTCGAGACCCCTGCACTAAAGTGATTCTCAGTGTTTTTCTCCACCTTGATATTTCAGTCTCATAAATTGACTAGGTGAAGTAAAGCACTCAGTACTTATTGAATGCTGCGGCACTCTTTTTCTTTTGCAATGGAAGATACAAATCTCATCACACACCAAGGCATAGTTTTCATCATCATGATTTGCTAGATAAGAAACAATTGATTTACAAAAGTTCTTGTTTTAAAAATCACAAGGACTGGATTTAAGGCAAGAATAATCCATAATAGCACAATGTGTGAATCTAGTAATCACTGGCTGAACTTTACATTAACCTTTCTTCACAAAAATTCATCAGTTAGCTTGTTCTTTGTCTAATACTAGCAAAATATTCTTGATTTATGTGATTTTCAGGCAAATTCCTTAATGAGTCCATTTATACCATCAGTATCTATCATTCTGTTTCACATTTAGTTCAGTGAATAAGTAATGATTCTTTTCACCAGTGTTCTCTCAATTAAATTCTCAGATGTTCTTCAAGATTTATTTATTTATTTATTTATTTATTTATTTATTATTTCAATTTATATCCCGCCCTTCTCCCGAAGGACTCAGGGCGGCTCACAACATTATTAAAACAAAGAAAGACCCACACACCCCATATGACATATTAGAGAACACTGAAAGTGAGTCATGAACAGCAACACACCCAAAAGCAGAATGTGTGCTTTGAAGCATGTCCTGAGGTAACAACAACCTTTTCAAAAATGTGAAATGTTTTTAATTGGACTAGGAACAAAGGGAATGCTTTAAAAACAGTGTCTGTTATTTCTTTCTATCTCTAAGATCTTAAAATTCTATCATGACAAGTTAAATTAAAAACGATAATGATACCTCTGGAGCAATCCAGTTTTAGATTATAAATCTCACATTGAAGGATATGTGGCATACATAATTGATTGGTTTTGTTCTGAAAAAAATTGAAAGGTTCTAATAAGTTTCCTAGATTTAAGACTTCTCCAAGTCATAATTATAGCTTCACACAGCTTTGATTTTGTTTAAAGACATTGCAATCAAAACCACTCTTCAAATTGTATCTTCATTCTAATTGTGAAATAAACATACATACTATGTTGAATCAGTTTGCTGGATTCAGTGGACTTGTGATTTGATTTTAGCAGTGATGAATCACCAATTCAAATCAAATTACCTTTTAAATCAAGTCACACATTTAAATCAAATTGATTCTGAATTAAATCACAAATTGAACTAGGATCTCAGTTTATTTGTGCACTTCTGTTCACCACAATTATGCTTTCTGAGTTAAACCAAATACACTATTTTGGATTAACATACATCTATACAGTGTTTTTTTTGTAAAAAAAAAAAAAAAAAAAAAGGTGCCGGAACTCACACACGTCATACAACCCGCCTTGCCTACCCTACAAGGTTCCATCCAAAAAAGGTGCCGGAACTCCGTTCTGGGCATTCTATGACAAAAAAAGCCCTGCATCTATAAATGTAGGTGTAATTTCACTGTACAATATGCAAAATGACTTCCTAAACCTGCTGCTTAGAGCCATTTTTAGTAGAGCAGTAGAGAAATGCCAGTGGCAAATGAACATGCAGCTCCAGGAGTACACATTGTACAATAATCCCTTATTCTTAAAATATTTAGTGTTTTCCCAGAGAAAGTTCAATCTATTTAAATTATTTCAAAAGCTACAATAGCTTTGTTCATCAAAATTCATACTGGTGCAAATCCTTTATGAAGTTTTCTGGTCCTGAAACAATTTTATCATTGTACTTTATTGCACAGAATCTTCAAAGAATGGTTAAGTCATTTAACATGTATTTTCCATAAATATGAGCAAGATCTCTCTCCTTCCTCATGCAATTGATAGTTGCATATGGTATATATAACCAGAATAGTAAACTTCTCAAGTTTACTTGCATATTTAATATTATGCAAGCCTTATTCAAGATATGCCTGCAACTGCTATTTTGAAGACAAATCTTAGCTAGAAAAGATGGTTTATATTTCATAGCTATTTTAACCTGCAATTAAGCTGTTCTTCTCCCATTCCTTTCTGAACAATCTGGAGGGATTTAGGCATTTTGGTAGCAACAGTACTAATATCAGAAACAAAAAGTTCTTGAAATTACCAATCTACATAACTGTGAGACTGTCCTGTGTCTCCTCCCAACCCATCTTACAATTTTAGACAGCAATCTGTTATTACCATGCCAAGACTTCTTTGCTAAATTGTTTGGAGATGCTGCAATATTCTAGGTATTTGTAATGCCAGTTTAAAACAGAGGCTGATTCTGTCTAATTCTTGTCTGATAAAGCAGATCATAGTCATCAGCAGAATTATATAAATCCTTAAACTCCTATAGCTGCATTGCAATAGTATGCAGCAGCAAAATCTTAACATGGAACTCATCTCTTACTCTAAAAATATGTACATTCTCTGATGGATCAGACAGCAGCAAACATCTAACAACTGTATATTCTTGAAATTCTAGATATCTTAGTTATAAAACATTTTCCCTTAAATACAATGTTTCATTCCCTTATTAGATTTTTTTACAGCCTATGCCTTCAGATACAATTTGTCAGTAGTTTGCACTTAATTTTTTATATTGAGCTGTAAATCTTTCACAAAAGTTTAAAATATGCAGAGCTTAGGAAATAATGGTATGAAAGTCCACTAGCTGCTTCTGTCTAACCTTGATGCAGTTGAATATTGCTGCTTCCAGCAGAATAAGTAGGTTGCTTAATTGTGCCTATCTAAGTTACAGAAAGTTACTCAATAGTGCTTATGCAATGGTACTGGATTGTTCAACGCAGACAATTAATACCCACAGAACCAGCCAGACCCTGACAGCAATCACTAGGGCCCTTTTACACAGGGCAATTCTAGCAATTTGTATTCAGAAAATAAGCTCAATGAAGCTTGCTTTGGATTAGAATGTCACCAATCAATAATTGGGCTATCATGGCAATTGTAACTGCTGATGTTACAGATGTAAGCTCTGATAAATATTTGCAAGATCCCATGTGTGCTATCATTTATATATTTTTTATAAATATTTCTACAAATACTATTGAACGTGTTTTATAAATTCAGATTATTGCTGGTAGTTTTGTAGATTGTTAAACCAACTTCTATAACAAAAACTTATTTTAATATAATATTAAAAATTAACAATGATTTATAGTAACTAGGTATATTCAATTTCCTAAGTCAAATC